GGAACACTGAGTCTCCTCGACATTAAGGGACACTGAGTCTCCTCGGCATTAAGGAACACTGAGTCTGCTGACTGAGGGACACTTTGACATTGAGGGACACTGACATTGAGACACTGGTCTGCTTGACATTGAGGGACACTGAGTCTGCTCGACATTGAGGGACACTGGAGTCTCCCTGGAGGGACTGAGATCTCCCCTCGACATTGAGGGACACTGAGTCTCCTCTGAGCCTGCTTGATGAGGGACACTGACTCGGCATTAAGGGACACTGGAGATCTCGACATTGGGACACTGAGTCCTCGGCATTAAGGGACACTGAGTCTCCTCGACATTAAGGGACACTGAGTCTGCTTGACATTGAGGGACACTGAGTCTCCCTCGGCATTAAGGGACACTGAGATCTCCTCGACATTGAGGGACACTGAGTCTCCTCGGCATTAGGGACACTAGAGTCTCCTCGACATTAAGGGACACTGAGTCTGCTTTGACATTGAGGGACACTGAGTCTGCTCGACATTGAGGGACACTGAGTCTCCTCGGCATTAAGGGACACTGGTCTGCTTGACATTAAGGGACACTGAGATCTCCTCGACATTGGGGACACTGGGTCCTCCTCGACATTAAGGACACTGAGTCTGCTTGACATTGAGGGACACTGAGATCTCCTCGACATTGAGGGACACTGAGTCTCCTCGGCATTAGGGACACTGAGTCTCCTCGGCATTAGGAACACTGAGTCTGCTTGACATTGAGGGACACTGAGTCTGCTCTGAGGGACACTGGGTCTCCTCGACATTGAGGGACACTGGTCTCCTCGACATTGAGGGACACTAGTCTCCTCGACATTGAGGACACTGAGTCTCCCTCGACATTGAAGGACACTGAGTATCCTCGACATTGAGGGACACTGAGTCTCCTCGACATTGAGGGACACTGAGTCTGCTCGACCTTCCTGAGTGAAAACTGAGACTAAAACTAAATCTGTATTACTGGAGATACTATTTAAAAATATATTTTTCTTTCTACTAGGCATGCAATGCATGCCTTGCATTCATTAACAATACGCCACTGCTTTCTCATTACTGTGAGAAGACTTCGATTGTATCTCTCTCTTTGAATTTACTAAATACCTGATTCGTTGATCTAGAAGCAATGTGGCTTAATGAAGGGAAGTCGGAATCAAAAGCCAATACTCTAAAGTAAACACAACTCCTTCTCCTTTTATTAGCTGCCATTGATTTGTTTTCTTTAGCAAACCATGTGTTATGATGTAGGCAGCAGCCCCAGAGACAATATATATTGCTCCCAACAACTGCGCTTACCTCACGATAAAGTGACAAGGACATATTCTGATTTTATATTTCGTTGTCATAAAAAAAACTTTCTTTGTCATCATATAAAGTGAACTGTGAGGATGGCCTAATGTTTGTCGTGAGAACTTCGGTTTTATTAACCTCGGGATGGAGCGCATCAGCTGTTATTGTGCTGGCTTATGTTCCTAGAGACATTTATGGACACTAACATAAATTCTCCTCCACACTTCAATTGGCGCACGGTGGCAGCAGACCACAACCTCTTGCTTGTACTGGTGCAGTGTTTTAAAAAAATCCAATAAAGTGTCAGTTTGGTTTATTAATCTCGTTATTGACGGTGAGATAAAATTACATAAGCTATTCTAATTAATAATAAATTGGATGTTATTATGTTGAAGTCAACTCTTGGAAATAAGATCCTCAAATGACATCGTTTGCCCACGAAAAAACATAGTTGCAATTACTTGCAGTCGTCAGTTGTTCTCGTTCAGGTGTGGCCTCTCTCTCTCTCTCTCAGCGACATCAAATGCTGTATGATATACTGTACAGTTGTGTAGTGTGTGTGTGTGTATCTTTCTTTATGGATCTTTATACTTAGGTTCACAGTGTATAAGAAAGCTGTTGGTCATGCAACTGTTCTTGGACATACTCTTGGTGAAGGTTTACTGACTGATGAGGTTAAAAGTGAATGTGTCGAGATACTAACGTGTGTGACACATCACCCCTCTCCACCAGTTTCCCTGATGTATGCTACTACTGGTAAGTCAAAACCCTTGCAAGATATTCCAACAAAACCCCAGAGAAAATCCTCCTTACCCAGCCAAGTCCCCTCTCACACTCATACCGTATTTTTCTCCGGGCTTAGCGTCACACTACCTACCCATACCAACACAGCCTCACCTCTACTTAATATACCGCAATCCTGTCCCATTCACCTCCATGTTAATGTATCAAACATTGTCATTTACTCCACAGTCATTAGCATCACCACGTTTAATTTTCACTTTACTTAACCATATCGTGTGTTAGGTTCACTACACTTTGTACTATCACCACCATTATGTGCGATATCTTCATCATATATCATGCTTCCTTCACCACACGCTGTACTACCTTCACCACAAACAGTACTTCCTTAACCACACACAGTACTTCACTACACACATAGTACTACCTTCACCACACACAGTACTACCTTCATCACACACAGTACTACCTTCACCACACACTATTTCCTTCACCACACACAGTACTTCACTACACACATAGTACTACCTTCACCACACACATAGTACTACCTTCACCACACACAGTACTACCTTCACCACACATAGTACTACCTTCACCACACACACAGTACTACCTAGCCTAAACTCAGTGAACAACAACAATGTTAGAAGGGCACCTGACCACAGCCCTTCTCCCTCCAAGCGTACTTCACCCTCCTCACCTCCACACAATACTATTTCTGAGTTCTCGTAGTTATGTCTCTCCCTCAGGCTTTGGTGTCCTCGCTGCACTACTCGTCTTTTTTTTTTCGTGGTTATTCCCAAAATTCAGTTGCTCTATCATAACCCACGTAATTAACCCTCACCTCTCTCCCCTGACACTGCTGCCGCTCCCCCTCTCGGCCCTAACTCACTTTTCTTACTCAGCACAACTCTGTCCTCTCACCACAGTTTAATCTCTTTTCTCCATCTCATCTGCGGAGTTCCATTTTCTGCTTCCCTGTACCACCTACTTTCTCTCCGAGTCAATTTCTTCCCCCATCTCTCTTTAGTTAGCTTCTCTTCTTGCATTGAGCTGTTCATTCTTTTCTGTGATTTTAATTTTCTCACTCCATTTTCTTGACTACTTTAATCATCCCTGATGTTCCCCCTGTTATGAGTTCAGATATAAATCTTTCTCTTAACTATTGACCCTCGTCTCCCACCCACTCACTCATCTGCTCAACGGTGTTATATCTTTCCCCCATTAATCATTCCTCCTCTCAACCGAGTATTTTTTATGTAAATAATTTTTTTCTCGCTCTCTCTCAAAAGCTGGTGAGTCCACTGCGGTCTGTTTTTTTTTACTTAGTGGAACGTGTCTTTGTACCTGATAGTAAGTGCTGTTACGCTAAACGGACTATAATTTATCTGTCAGATGCTGTGAAGTATTGTGGCAATATATGAGTGACGAATGGTGGATTTAAGACCACTATGGAAAGTTTAGGAGTCAGTGGAGCACTTCTGCATCCACGTTGACACGCTTCTCTGCCCAGTACAGTACACCAGACATGCGTGTCAGGTGTACCATATGTTTGTGTCCTGAGAAATAAAGCAGTTTATAGTGAGCATGCTTATGATCCCCAGGGTAACCCATATACATTATACAGAGAGTTCTATCTTTCATAACCATTAATTGTTAATTGACGAGACTAATTACTAACCTTATTACGCGCCTATCCAGCAGATCATGTCTGCATACACCCACACAAAACATGATTGATCAGGGGATCATATCTGTGTCTAATGCAATATGTATTTATGCCCAATATGGAACCTGCCTGCGTGTTTTGATGGAGTGTACTCGGTTGCCGGGCAGAGCAAGACTCTTGCTGGCTCTGTTACTCGTTTTCTGACATAAAGAGAAGTTCAATAGCGTTTACCAGAAAATCTCTTTGTTTAGCTTCCCAGGTTAAACTTCCCCCCCGCACCAATATAGTCCTGAGTCCCTCCCAGTTTGATCACGTCATAACCAAGTATACAGAGAGACACACCAGGCAGTAGGCAGCTACCAAACAGGGAGGTACTACCGGCTGGGAAGATATTGGAAGCATAATGTGTTGTCTAATGGTAGACCCTGCTGCCATATGTGACCAAGTCCCAGGTTACTGATCTGACTTTCTGCCTCATTTACACATAAGTGCAGGGTCTCAATTGTTCCTCTTACCATTGACAACACAACATACATATATTGTTTCTCACTCTTGATCTTTTTTAATTTTTGTATTTCTATGTTTTTATTATTATTATTATTATTATTATTATTATTATTATTATTATTATTATTATTATTATTATTATTATTACTATTATTATTATTTTATTATTTTTATTTTGTATTTTTTATTATAAATTTTACTTATCTGAATTATTATTATTATTATTATTATTATTATTATTATTATTATTTTCATCATTATTACATTTTCACCCCCAGGCCCTGATGTGGGTCAGTGACCTGTGCCCTGGTGGGCTAATCCCCGTAAAACAAAAAAAACAAAAAATAAAAATAAAAAACACTAGACACGAATGCAACACTTCAGACACTAGACATTATTGCAACACGTGTGAGGAACATTAACTATCGTCTCGCTGCAGTGACGGATTAAGCTTAGTAGGGGCCTGAGGCACAGATCAACTTGGGGCCCCCTACCCTCAAGGTATATATATATAGCAAGAATAAAATATACCAAAATTTATCAGTGATTTCATCAATATTAAGCTTCTGCAAAATAACACATTTAATGTTCATAAGAGACAGAAAATTGAGACGTTGCTAGGACATCGTTGAACGAAGTTCATGTTTTATATGCTTCAACTTCGAGAATGTTTGGATTTGGGGGACCCTTAGAGTCGGGGGGACTGAGGCCAGTGCCTCAAGTGCCTCATGGTTAATCCGGCACTGTCTCCATGTTAACAGTGCCGGTGAAGGAGGTGCGAGGGTGGGTGACGCCGAGTAGTGTGGAGGCGGGAGAGACAGTGGCCCTCACCTGTGAGTCTTCCCCCAGTCGACCACTGACCATCATCACCTGGCACTCACAGGGGATTACGGTGCAGGGAGCCACCATCCGTCACTCTCCTGGACTGTTTGGGGCTACTATTACCAGGTAGGTGGTCTGACGCCTCCTACGGGGCCACAACCTCCTGCAGTTCAAACAGTTTACTTGTCTTCTCGGTGTTAAGAATGACAATGTAAGACGAATCAATTTATATATCAAGAGATGGCCAGCGGGCATGGTTCATTTTCTCCTTAAAGTACATTTATTATGATTAGCAAAAGGTTTCAGTACCATAATTAATACACTTATGCTTACGGTGAAGAACTGACATGAGGTTTAATATAACTATTTACACTATGAAAAACTATCAAGAGTTGGAACTACGATTTAAAAAAACACGGGACCAATTAGCCCTCCTTCGTTTATATTTGATTGTGGACGAAAATATTAATGGCAAACAAACAAACTCCCAAACTGTTAACTGGACTCGCTTCTTCCCCTCTTTTCCCTCGGCGTCTTCCCTCATTCTTGCTAATCCACTACCTTCCCGCATTCTTCCTCCTCCACTCTCTTCACACATTCTTCCTCCTCCACCATTTCCACCCGCCTCACCTCATATAACCAAGCTTTCTCTTGACTTAGTTAAACAATTAGACTGTTCATAATTACATTGGTGAGCCACAAATGAGATCAAAGTAAGGTTCACAATTTAATTTTATCTCCATCCTGAGGGGAACCTTCAGAGCGCTGTGCTTATCAGGTTACCCCCCAAAAAATATAAACGCCCCTTCACTCATTTACCCACTATATTAAGACGATCATTGATGACCTTACTAATGAAGCATACCCTCCTTCCCCCCTCACTACCCTCCCTCACCCCTCACACCCTCCTCACCCCTCCACACCTCCCTCACCCCTCCACATCCTCCCTCACCCCTGCATCCCCTCCCTCACCCCTCCACCATTCCTCACCCCTCCATCCTCCTCACCCCTCCACCATCCCTCCACCCCTCCCATATCCTCCCTCACCCCTTCCCTCACCCCTCACTACCCTCCCTCACCCCTCCCTCTCCCTCACCCCTCCACTCCCTCTCCCTCACCCCTCCACTATCTCCCTCACCCCCTCACTACCCTCCCTCATCCCTCCCTCCATCCCTCACCCCTCTACCTCCTCACCCCTCACTACCTCCCTCACCCCTCACTACCCTCCCTCACCCCTCCACTACCCTCCCTCACCCCTCACTACCCTCCCTCACCCCTCACTACCCTCCCTCACCCCTCACTACCCTCCCTCACCCCTCAGGTCAGAGCTGTTGTTGAGGGCCGTGACGGATGATGACGGGAGAGTGGTCAGCTGTGAGGCCCACAACGGTCTGGGTGTCACCGTGACGACTAACATGACTCTCAACGTGTTGTGTGAGTAGCGACGTTTCTTGTTTACTTCGTCAGAGGCAGTTTGGTGATGGTGAGAACCTGTCAGTGTGTGGTATCTCCCTCACCTCAGTCTCTTCTCAGTGTTTCAATTACTTTTAACTTGAGATTATTAAATACTAACTTCTTACCTTCTGCCTTTACCGTATTAATGCAATATTTCTTTACTCGATTTTAACCCAAGATACAATTTACCTGTTATGCCTATACATGTGTGTGTGTGTGTGATGACAAGCTGTAATGCGTGAGGGTGGTTGAGGATGGTGGTGAGAGTGATGAGTGAGGGTGATGCTAAGGGTAGTGGTGAGGGTGGTGGTGATGGTGGATGGTGAGGGTGGTTGGTGATGGTGGTTGGTGATGGTGGTTGGTGATGGTGGTAGGTGATGGTGGTTGGTGAGGGTGGTTGGTGATGGTGGTTGGTGAGGGTGGTTGGTGAGTTGGTTGGTGAGGTGGTTGGTGATGGTGGTTGGTGATGGTGGTTGGTGATGGTGGTGGTGATGGTGGTTGGTGATGGTGGTTGGTGATGGTGGTTGGTGAGGGTGGTTGGTGATGGTTGGTGGTGATGGTTGGTGATGGTGGTTGGTGATGGTGGTTGGTGAGTTGGTTGGTGAGTTGGTTGGCGATGGTTGGTGATGGTGGTTGGTGAGGGTGGTTGGTGAGGGTGGTTGGTGAGGGTGGTTGGTGGTGGTTGGTGATGGGTGGTGATGGTGGTTGGTGACGGTGGTTGGTGATGGTGGTTGGTGATGGTGGTGGTGATGATGGTGGTTGGTGGTGATGGTGGTTGGTGATGGGTGGTTGGTGATGGTGGGTGGGGGTTGGGTGGTTGGTGATGGTTGGTGAGGTGGCTGGTGATGGTGGTTGGTGGGGTGATGGTGGCTGTGATGGTGGTTGGTGATGGTGGTTGGTGATGGTGGCATGGTGGTGGGTGGCTGTGAGGGTGGTTGGTGATGGTGGTTGGTGATGGTGGTTGGTGGTTGGTGATGGTGGTTGGTGATGGTGGTTGGTGATGGTGGCTGTGAGGGTTGGTTGGTGGGTGGTTGGTGATGGTGGTTGGTGATGGTGGTTGGTGATGGTGGTTGGTGATGGTGGTTGGTGGGTGGTTGGTGATGGTGGCTGTGAGGGTGGTTGGTGACGGTGGTTGGTGATGGTGGTGGTGGTGGTTGGTGGTGGGTGGTTGGTGATGGTGGTTGGTGAGGGTGGTTGGTGAGGGTGGTTGGTGAGGGGTGGGGTGGTTGGTTGGTGATGGTGGTTGGTGATGGTGGTTGGTGATGGTGGTTGGTGATGGTGGTTGGTGAGGGTGGTTGGTGAGGTGGTTGGTGAGGGTGGGTGAGTTGGTTGGTGAGGGTTGGTGATGGTGGTTGGTGATGGTGGTTGGTGATGGTGGCTGTAGGGTGGTTGGTGACGGTGGTTGGTGATGGTGGTTGGTGAGGGTGGTTGGTGAGGGTGGTTGGCGATGGTGGTTGGTGATGGTGGCTGGTTGGTGAGGGGTGGTTGGTGACGGTGGTTGGTGACGGTGGTTGGTGATGGTGGTTGGTGGGTGGTGGTGGTTGGTGACGGTGGTTGGTGATGGTGGATGGTGATGGTGGATGGTGAGGGTGGTTGGTGAGGGTGGTTGGTGATGGTGGTTGGTGATGGTTGGTGATGGTGGCTGTGAGGGTGGTTGGTGACGGTGGTTGGTGATGGTGGTTGGTGATGGTGGTTGGTGAGGGTGGTTGGTGAGGGTGGTTGGCGAGGTGGTTGTGTGGTGGTTGGTGAGTGGTGAGGTGGTTGGTTTGGGTGACGGTGGTTGGTGACGGTGGTTGGTGATGGTGGTTGGTGATGGTGGTTGGTGAGGTGGTTGGTGACGGTGGTTGGTGATGGTGGATGGTGATGTGGATGGTGAGTGGTTGGTGAGGTGGTTGGTGATGGTGGTTGGTGATGGTGGTTGGTGAGGTGGTTGGTGAGGGTGGTTGGCGATGGTGGTTGGTGATGGTGGTTGGTGAGGGTGGTGGTGGTTTGGTGACGGTGGTTGGTGATGGTGGTTGGTGAGGGTGGTGATGGTGGTTGGTGAGGGTGGTTGGTGATGGTGGTTGGTGACGGTGGTTGGTGACGGTGGATGGTGATGGTGGATGGGTGAGGGTGGTTGGTGATGGTGGTTGGTGATGGTGGTTGGTGAGGGTGGTTGGTGATGGTGGTTGGTGAGGGTGGTTGGTGAGGGTGGTTGGTGAGTTGGTGTTGTTGTTGTTGTTGTTGTTTTTGTTTTTTGTTTTTTTTGAGAAAGGAGGGGTGAAAGAAGATTAGAGGTGGGGGAAGGAAGTTATAGTTAAGAAATTTAAGAGGAGGTAAGAGAGGGCGGGCTAACCGCCCTGCTGTAGGTTAGTTAAGCTAATAGTGTGTTAGGGTTGTGTCAGCCTACCCTATCCCATTTATGGGTTTTTTGAGCGCCGACCCTACTGGCGGATGCTGGTCTAGGTAGGTTGTCTATTGCCTGGCCGTATAGATCGGGGGTGGTAATGGACCTTTTGAGATTTGGCATCTTTTTAGGAACAATGTATGGTTGTTGTTGTCTGGTGGGAGGGTGGTGGTAAGGGTGGTGGTAAGGGTGGTGGACGAGGGTGATGGACGAGGGTGGTAGAGGGTAATGGACGATGGTGGTGGTGAGGGTGCTGTAAGGGTGGTGGTGAGGGTGGTCGTGGTGGAGATGGGTGGTGGTGAGGGTGGTGGTGGGGTGGTGGTGAGGGTGGTGGTAAGGGTGGTGGTAAGGGTGGTGGTGAGGGTGGTGGTAAGGGTGATGGTGAGGGTGGTGGTAAGGGTGGTGGTGAGGGTGGTGGTAAGGGTGTTGGTGAGGGTGGTGGGTAAGGATGGTAAGTGTTATGGCTGGATGTCCCTCCTAATGCCAATCCACAGGCTGGGGACAACTGGAGGCAGGGTCACAGCTCCAAGAGGTAATCAAAAACCACCCGCCTACCTGTCTCAATGATATACATTATATACATTGTTTATGGAGGTTTTCCTTACAGACGGCCCTGTGTGGGTGGAGGAACCTGCCAGGGTGGTGGACGTGGTGGAGGGTGAAGACCTGATCGTGAACGTAGTAGCCACGGCCAACCCACCCCCCGTCAGGTAGGTCCTGCCATCTTGTTGCAGGTGCACTAACCATCGTAGTGATTACCCTCATCATGGACGTGGTCATTAAGATGCCAGTCAAGATCAACCTGTCCCCCGCCCCCCCCCACCAGTTAACCCCCGCGTTTAATTCAAGTCATGGGAGGCGACCAGAGCAAAAGTTACAACTGTTAGAAAACACAGCCGCCGCTCTTTCCCCCGTAAGGCACATTTTACTATGAAGTGGAAAAAAATTAATTAAATCCTCCACCAACCCCAGTGACATCTGCACCTTTCTCATCAAGGGGCTTTCGCATGCTAATTATAATGAATTTTTCATCTCTGTCCGCTCACATCCTTCTGAAATAAATATGCTTTCCCTGTTTCTTTTAGTGTCAGCCTCGCCCGCCCAGACCACCTCAAAATAACGTCTTCTATCACTTCTGTTTAATTAACGCTGTTGTATGCCAGTATGGGCATACTCCATAGACATATTAGAGATGGTCATACTTCGCTAACATTATGAGTCTACAGGCTGTCGTAACAGACATGGTTTACACACAACTCCATTTACTGTATCATGGGGCTGCATGCATCACCTGCCCCTCCTTCACTACTGTCATCACCCACACAATAGTTACTTAAACCATACCATAAAGTGTACACCCGGGTATTGTATGTAAATTCCCGTGAGACAGGTGGAGGTGATGGCAAGATGGGGGTAAGGGTAACATAATACAACCTATACCACAGATATCAATGATTAACCAACTAACTCATGATAATAGTCTAATATCGATTAAATAGAAACGAAAGAGTTGAGTAATTATAAGTTGTCAGAGATCAACGAAGTATGACTCACACACTAAATTAACTTGTGGAAAGTTTGACGGTGATGTAGTGTTCACATCCTTAGTTTGTGTGTCTTAATTTTAATTAATTACTACACAGTAAATTTTATTTCCATGTACAGGTATACTTTAACATAAGACCCTTAACACTACTTAACTCCTTCACTTTGGGGACGCCACTTTTAATATTTAACTGACAACACCAGACGATTTTATTCAGCTCAGAGGGGAACCCGCGCACAACGGGTTAAATACGTCACAGACAAACATTACAGAAACAAATAGATCGGTAGTTACCACACTTCTATCATAACCTTGGCCAACCAGAGCTAAGATTTAAGGCTGACAGGTTGACAGGCAGCCGAGGGAGCGTCTACGCAGGCCAGGTGGTGACTCATCCTTATGACATTTAGGACATCAAGCGCCTCTATTGTTGCCTGGTGGTCACTCACCCTCATTCCCTGGACACCAGGCATCCTCTCAGGCCATGTGGTCACCCGCAGGCCCTCAACAATTTTTAAATCCTTTCAAGTCCAGTGTCGCACTTAGGTGTTTTATTCTGGGTAAAGCCAGACAATTTTATTCAGCTGAGAGACACCCCGGCCTCTGAGAGGGTTAACGAAAGAGATATTTGCCAAATCTTTTCACCGTGGCGTCCCCTTGCTAAAGATGTTTTTTTAAGGATTTGGGGTAATGCAGGTTTTGTAAAAAAAAAAAAAAAGGAAAAATTCTCTGTGGCAGGGAGTTCCAGGGAATGCTAGTGTGGGTTATATATAGGCAGAAGTTGTACATAACGGAGCTTCAACAGAATAGCCTCGGGCCCTCCATAAGCTCTCGTAGGCCGATGGAGGGTGTGTGGTGGCTGCACTGTTGAGTATCTATTAAATGGGCAAAGCAGTGAGATATACCAGCATATGTGGAATGGTGGAAAGTTTCTGGAAAATTGATTATTTCATTTTTTTCTGCACTCGATGGAGGAGGCGAAGTGTCACACCCATCCCACAGAGGACAGTAGTGCTCCAGCTGGGAGGATCATTATTATTTTATTACTGTACGTCAGTGAAGGTAATTCATGGTTAAGCCAATTAACTATTATCATTATCACGATTAATATATAATACAGTTATGGCCATCATTATTTTCAGAAATCCCACATTTAATGAAGTCCTCCTTCCCACCCCACCCCACCCCACCCCACCCCGCCTCGCTCCCCTTCCCCGTCCAAACTGGGTTAATGATGTTTGTCACAGCCAAGTCTGTTCTTATCAGTGGAAATAAACTCTTGTTTTTCAAAGTAGTATGAAAAAAACACACGAAAATCCTCCTGTACACATACAGTTACACATGGTGGCGAGGACCGCAGAGTGTGGTGGGTGTTGACGGAGACACAGGGGCCGAGGGTCAGCTCCACCTGGCCAGGGTGCACCGCCAGGACGCCGGCAGCTACTCTGTCACCGCCACCAACCCGAGGGCCTCTCTAAACTCCTCGTTTACCATCAACGTGCTCTGTAAGTGTGTGTGTGTGTGTGCGCGTGTGTGTGTGTGTGTGTGTGTGTGTATGTGTGTGTGTGTAATTAACGTTATACAAGAACAAAAATCCCAAGAGTTTCCCCACAGTTTACCTAAGAAAAAAAATATTGAAGTGATAACCGTGGTAACATGTTCTTTTTACCACCATGCTATTGTACTATTCCAGATGATACTAAATGTTACATAATACTTCCTTGAGATAAATGTATAGTATATATCAGGTGTCTACAAGAGAGCTCAGGTTCTCAACTGGCTCAGCCATGTTAATATTGTTATTATTATCCACTCTGTATCTGTGTTTTTCTGGCTAAATAAGCTGTTTCAATTCAATTCAATTTAATGTGTCACTCTCAGACGGGCCCGAGGGCGTGGAGGCCCCTAAGCGGGTGACTGTGGACGAAGGAGACACCGCTACTATACTCTGTTCAGCCCTTGGCAACCCCACTCCCAATGTTACCTGGATGAAGGACAGCAATAACACCAGGTGAGGAATACAAGTATGAATACATCAGAAGCAGAGACGCCAGAGATATAAGGTAAATAACATAACACCCAGGTTACTTGACATAGCTCCCTAGTTACCTGGACTAGGGACTTGAAAAACTACGTTAACGCCAACGGTGAAATATCTTATAGTTAGTTACCCTCACAACCAACACCTGGGCTCAGTCTATCGTCAACCACCACCACCACAATGCATAAATAATATCAGAAACATGAAAGATGATTTTACATTTGATCTATTTTTTTTTAGTAAAGTTTATAACAACAATTAAACAAACATTTGGCCGTGTATAAATTATGTTAATAGTCTAACATATAATAACACTAGATACGAGGAGTTTATGCAGTAGTAAAGTTTGTGCCGGCAGTGAGGTGTGGTGGGGCGTGGGGTCTGCCAGGCTGGTGGTGGAGCGAGTGTCCAGGCAACACACAGCTCTCTACAAGTGCCACGCCTCCAACACTGTCTCTTCAGCCCCCTCTGTGACTACTGCTCTCCTCGTCTCCCGTGAGTTATCCCCACGCCTCACCCTCTCCCTTCATCTAGATTTTGTTTAATTATGTTCATGTGTCTAATTATCACAGAAAATTATGATATTCCAGCACAAACGATAGACACCCTAGTCCCGGGTTACTTATTACTAACATAGGTGTCCTACAGGCAGAACAAATACCTTGATAGAAGCTCTGTAACTTCTGTACATTACTACCTTTCGTACTTCCCATGACGGCGTTAGACTGGCTGCCTTGTGTTATATTTTTCACTGATTTTGTTTATTATTTTCAGCATTAACACAGTATATTCTTTCACAATAAATATGAAGAAATGTCAAACCAGAATTACATAAAAACATTAAAATTTCCTTCAAAACTCTGATATTACGTTCACGTGACGGGCAAGTCGAAGGGAATGACTGAAACCCGCCTTTTGACGCATTCAATATTTATTGATGTGTGTCAAAAGGCGGGTTTCAATCATTCCCTTCGACTTGCCCGTCACCTGAACTTCCTTAACTAAGGCGTTTACAGCCAAAACAAGTGCGGGTCAATGCGAACCAGTATGGTGTTCCAAGGGACAATAGTACTGTGTAAATTGTTCCAGCACAAAACTCGGCCAGGATTGGGAGTCGGTGTTCACCACAGAGGGATGGTCCTCACAGGTAGCATGAGAGGATATACACTGGTTACTAAACAGCTGCATCACTCTGGTCCTACATGTCTCAGTTCACATAAAATTCACAAATTCAAAAGAAATTTCTGATGAAAATTTTTGGTGAAAAATTATCAAAAAGAAAACAGATTTTAATCAAATACTTGTAGATTCCTTCATTGATAAGAAAAAAGTAAAAAAATATTTGGTAAAATCGCTGTAGATTTACAAATAATAATATAAAGGAACAAGGAACTTTTGGAGCCATAGGTAGAACAGCCACTAGGAGGGAAACAGTCACGAGAAGGAGTACAGTCACTAGAAGGGGAACAGTCGCTAGAAGGGGAACAGTCACTAGAAGGGGAACAGTCGCTAGGAGGGGAGCAGTCGTTGGCTGGAGGGAGGACCAGAGATATTGATGCTATAATGTATTACTGGGCTTTAACAACTTGAGTCTATATACCGTGTACGCGTAGTCTAGGTTAGTAAATACAGGAGCTGAGGTGACGCTTTGCTACAACTATGAGTAAGGCCGGTAAGTCTTAAGCTGAAAACCACTGAAACTGATGAAATCGGAACCTACAGTAGGACACCTTGCTCGTCTGTGTAAATACGTCAAAATCTGAAGGATATTATTAATTCTTTCTGCCTGTACGGGAATGGATTATAGGTTAAGTAAAAAAAAATATGCGGAAGAAACTGAAGATATTGAGAACAAATTTTACCTGCTGAATGTTTCCGATTTTTTTCTGAAACTCAAGGTTGGTGACTTCTGAGGGAAATAAATGAGAAGAGGATCCAGAATAGATCGGCAAGTCCTCCTGAGAAATTATGTTGAACTCCCAATTTAAATATTTACAGATCTCTGTGGCTTAAGATCTAATACATTTCTCGTTGAGACATTTCCTGTAAGATGTTTTTTGTTTCGTGTTTACTGTGGAGGTGATGTTAATGCTGATATATAAATTGATATCCATTGAAAATGTACACACCATTCACTACAAGTGAAGCACTTCTGAGCCAGGAGTGATGGTAGACGTGACCTTATGTGGCACTGTACCTTTAGAAGCACCCTGGCTGCCAGTGTACCCGGAAGAGGCGATCGTGCGGAGGTGGCTGGCTCCAGTAGGGGGCAGCACACAACTTCAGTGTCGCGTCATGGCAGCTCCTGCACCCACCTTCAGATGGACCTTAAACAATGATCGAGTCCTACTGAACAGCCACAAATACTTCGTCCCGCTCCCACAGGTAAGGTGAATGTGTTTATCTTTCCTAAATTAGCGTCAACAATTTGCTTTAGTGAGTCAAGCTACAGTGCATGCGAAGTTTCCAAGCTGACGACACATGGCGCAGAGAAGTATGAATTGAGAAGAATATTTTTGTTGGGTGATATTAATTTTTATCTGCACATTTTTACACTTCTTCCCATTTATTGTAGGGTAGTCGGAAACAGACATACACACATTCTTTATTCACTCGTTATCATTCATCCGTTCTCACTGGTGTAACAGATTGTTCCCCTCCACAAAACGGCCTCAGATACATCACTGGTTTCATCCACTCAGTCTAGGTAAGCCACCACTACAGATCACTAGATGCTACACTCTCTGTTCCTTCGTACTTACCGCTGCTCTTTCCCTCTCTCGTCAAGTGTTCCTCCCATCCTTCCATATTATTGGTATTTTACTCTCTCTCTCTCCTACCAATCTTCCGCCTTCCTTTCCCATATGATGGCCATACAACCTTAGGATTGTAGACCATGCAATACTCTGCCTTAACACTTGTTACCCTTCCACGTCCAACTACTGTGTTAGTTCTTAATATTTTTTCCTCTGCACTCTACAGCATTCTCACAAAACTATCATATACAATTTCCCTCTTTATATATATATCTCAGCAGGAATCGAGCCCGGGACCTCAACGTGCAAACAGGAACCGCTACCACGGAACCACAAGGGCAACAAAAGTTATTATTGGCTTTGTTGAGTGATCTTGTGGGCCGGATTGTGGTAGACACACGGTAATAGTGGCGTGGTATTTACAGCTTGTGGACGGACTGGTGGAGTGGTGGTCGGTGCTGGAGATAAGGAAGGTGACCGTCAGGGACTACACCTACTACACCTGTACGGCGGTCAACACCTTGGGCTCACTCACCATTAACCACACTCTCAGCCCTCCCCTCGTCCCTCACCCACCGACACACCTCCAGGTAAGCTAACTTCTGCACCCAGGCTCTAAATTATATCATTATCAACCCATTTTTAATGTGAGGAATTTAGTTACGTTTAACTTTGTATAAAATGCTTTTGCTATTGGTTGTCACTACACTATTTATGCACCCTGTTACATTATGGTATCTCACTGCTGAATGTTATCGGTTAATTACAACACCCGCAATGATTCCTTGACAATTTAGGAATATGATAATATGTTTGTCTTAGGCAACCTCCCCCCCCCCTCAGGTGACGACAGTAACAGCCAGTTCCGTCACCATTTCGTGGGTCAACAACGATACTGAAATACTTGGTTATACTATACGATATCAAGCAACTGGTATCCCGGGCTATCAGGTGAGTAAAAGGATATGTTGGTGTCCCTCTCGATATATTGTTTAATTCTGGTGCACATGAATCATACCATCAACAAGAAAGAGTTTAGAAGTATTCTGTCTCCTTCAGTACGCGGAGGTGACCTGGAACAACACTAACGAGGCGGAGGTGGACGGGCTCACACCTGGCACCCAGTATTACTTCACCATCCAGACCTACCACCACCACGGCCGCTCCCACTTCACCTCACCAGCCGTCGTAGTCACCACGCTGAGTAAGTATCAGGACCGCCTGGAGGTTCACTCTTATTTGTAAGACAATAAACCTTTACGATGTCTAGTGCAGTGCCAGCCACGTACACAGTGAGCTGTAACCACACTTTTCCTAATGGGTAGTCATGCTTATAAGTCCTCAATAAAAAAAAATGTGACCAAGTCCCAGGTTGCTGATCTAACTTTCTGCCTCATTTACACACAATTACAGGTCATTAAAAATGACCTGTGCCCGGGTGGGCTAATGCCCGTAAAAAAAAAAAAAAAAAAACTCACTAGCAGTCATCGTTACCACACTGATTAAGTACTAAGACCTACTGGAGCTTCATCAGTATCTCTCACAAGACAAACTTGAAAAAAATGTAGTTCTCTTTGTGAGTAATAATCTATAATCCTCATAGAGGTCTCCCCAACACAGCACTCTCAAGGCCACACTTCATCACCTGTTCTGTAATTCCATCGTGCACGCTGCTACCAATGTTCTCCCGTACAGTACAACAGATGTGTTAGATTTATTTAACATTAGATAAAATAAAACAAAAACATGCGAGACAATTACCAACCAATTAACTTACTTTGGATTTAAAGTTAATTTATATAATTAACCTCAGTGAAATAATTAACATAATTCACTGTTCAATCCATTTACATTATATTAACTACACTGTTGGTAGCCAGAAACTATATACAGCATACTGCTATCACGAATTACAACAACAGCCTCAGAAATGAAACCTAAATCCGCCCACGCAGCGAGGACCACTGTGGCAGCTTCAGCCAGCTGTGCTGTGACAATGGCTGTCTTGTAATGTTTATTTTAGGTCGTCTTAACTGGAGTTTTTCCTGGAAACAAGAGACATGCTCTAGTGAGTGAGCTGCAAGTATCGGCAGAGGAGTGAATGTTTTCAATTTAACGAAACAATTTTGGGGGGAGACAGGAGAAAAAAATATTGTATGAAAAATTTAAATGGATTAGTGTGTTATGAGACGCCTGTGAAGAGTCATGAGGGGAAAAAAAGACATTAAAGGCTTCTGGACTTTATAAAAAACAAACATCCAAACACTAGTTCCCTGGCACAGAAAAGTGTTAACATAAACATATAAAAACATGTCAATTCTCCAGCTATTCTCGAGAAATAAACAAAAAATGATTGAACAGCTGAACGGGAAAGTGGTGGTCGATTGTAAATAAATGCTCAAAACGTTTACATATCCGGCAGGTGTACAGGTACGGTTTTGCCCTCATCCGCTACCCCTCATTATTTTCTACTTAGTCATTCAAGCTTCACTAGGCAGGTATCTATTGACCAGGCGGGTATCAATAATTATCTTGTGTTTATCTGGGATGTAGTGCTATTAGATTTATTTAATGATTATTTTAGCAATACACATAGACTGTACAGTAAATGCAGGTGTATAAATGTTTGGTAATAATCTTGAGTCCAATTCTCCCTATAAATTATATTTTCTCTTAATATTTCTTGGAAAGGAAATTGCAAATGTCGTTTCCAATTTACGTGATAATAACGTCTTTAATTTATACTTTTCACCTCATAAAAAACATATATGTGTTCTGGGGTGTGTGGGCGGGTGTGGGTGTGGGTGGGTGTGGGTGGGTGGGTGGGTGTGGGTGTGTGTGTGCGTGCGTGTAGGGGTTTCTACCGCTGGTTGGGTCTAATTAGAACCTTTGCCTCAGAGAAAATAATAAGGATCCATACAAATAATATCCCTACACAAAGACTAAGTATTGTCCTCCCTTACCAACCTCTTTTTTCTATATCCATTTGACATATTTTATAATTGATGTATGAACAGGTGTGGAGGAGGAGGAGGCAGCCAGCACTAGCAACGTGGAGGACAGCGGAAAGGGTCGAGTACCGAGACTCCTCCTGCTGTTGTTCTCTCTCACCGCGGCTACACTTTTTGTCCTCACCATCTCCATCATTGTTTGTTTTGTCCGTCGACGATCAATTAAGAGAAGTGCCTCAGGTAATGACATCATTCTATATAGTTCTCATTTGCTATTATTTGATAATAAGACTCACTCATTTTTTGAGATGTCAACATGGATGTTGATTTTTTTTTAATCAATGATAAACAAGAAGGTCTCTTCACGTAGGATCATCGAACAAGACTGCAGCCTTAGATGTGTACACCCCAGCAACAACTCCTGGAGACATTAGTCATGATGAGCCTGAGATAAGTTGCTCTCTTGATAACCTTACTCCTGCCAACAACCAAGTGAGTCTCATGTCAGGTGAACTTTTTGTTATTAAAGTTATGCTTATACCAGTCTCTAGTAATAATTATTATGTTTTCCTTCAAAGGTAAACACAAAATAAATTCATGGAAAAGTACTTAGAACTGTGTCAAAACATGGGTTCCAGCTTTTAATTTATTATGGACACAATTCTTGTAGACACCTTTGTGACCAACAGGTTCTGTGCCTTAAGACAACAGCGAGCCCTGAGGAGACCAGACGTGGCGAACACCAGGTGGTGATGACAGGTGAGGCAACACCACCACTCACCGGTCAACAAGATAACAAGGAATCACCTGGGCAATATCCCACACTACCCATCGCCACTCACCAAGTTATTACAAGCTCCCCTAGACCACGCACCTCTTCACCCTTCACCAGTGATAAATCCACCAGGACAACTCACCAACATAGTCCCTCACCGTCAGACAGACACCAAGACACTGAAGACCCTCACCGTTTATGTCTCCCTTCACCACTTACAAGATGCCAAGACCAAAGGGGAACACAGCAGTTACCTACCGCGTCACCACTCGCTGATCACCAAGTCAGAAAGAGAGCGCCACAGTTGATACCTTCATATACCAGTCAACGAGTGAGTGGAGACCTGCAACAATCACACTCTACTTCGCCGCTGGCTACTAGTCCAGGGCGAGTGTGTAACAGCCCCCTACACAACCTAACGAGAGATGTAAGTAAAGAACATATTTTGACTCACTGTGATGGCCTTCCTTCTGATGACAATATCAGTATTTCTTCTGCTGACAGTCCCTTAAAACGGAAAAATAGCGTCAGCAAGAGAGGGAAGGTTTCGGGCCTGACTTCAAATATACCAGATGTATGCCTGAAGAGTTCTAGACCTTACAAGCCCTCGTCGCCTCGTCATCACCAGGAGAAACTTACGGACCACGTGGAGGAGGACCGAGTGTCCTTTTCGTCACTGCACAGTAGCGACTCGTGGGTTAACCATCCAGCTCCTCCAAGATCACCTCCTTCCCATCTACTTCCCAAACGAATTCTTAAGCAGCCACTGTCATCACACTACACCAGCAAAAGTCCCTGCACAACCTTACGTAGCCCAACATTACAGTACTCACCACCTCTCTGCCTTCCCTCCAAACCCGCCACACAAGTCATTTATCATGGCCAGCCCCACATACAACAGCAACTGGAGCAACAACAACTTAAACAACAACATATGCAGCAGTCAGTCACTCAACAGCGTTGTTCACCGCAACAACCAGATCACCAACATGCTCAACCGCTCCTCCAACTTGGACAACATTTCTCAGTGCACCAACTTGAGCGCAGTAATTCACCGATAGAGAAGCTTCAGCTTCAACATAAACATAAGACGGAACAACAAAAAGAGGAAGACTTACAAACTCCTCCGTACAGGCATCATCATCACACCATACATGAGCTATCACGTGAACATGAACAACAAGGACAACAATTGTCACCTCCTCAACATCATCACCAGCAGTGTCATGAGGACCAACAACTTCAATATCAGTTAAAGGAAAATTCATATCAACAACACCAGCAAATTTCCCATGTACATTATCATCAACAGCCGTACGGAAGTACAGCCACTCATCATCATCAACATATGTATGATGGCGTAGATGATCAGAAACATCACGAGGTGCCTCACGGCCAGCAGCTTCACCTGCCTGACCAACATCAACAACTGCACTATCTGCATCACCACCATCAACACTATTCTGGAGTTCATGAACACTTGCACTCTAGTGACGACAAACAACGAGTTTATCACCATAATAAACACAAAGTTCAAGAAAATCAATATATCATGAAGCCGAGCGATAGAGTGCCATCAGCCTTCGTGCCACTGGACTACCAAGAGCATCGTCAAGACCTCCAGTGCTGTACATCACAGCCCCATGTAAGATTTCAGGAGCCACAGCCTCACTCTCCACACACGCAACAGTACGACCCATCGACCTGTCATCCTTCACAGTACTCCACATACTATGCTCGACCTCTGACGTGTTGCGATGAAAGATGTAGACAAAGTATACATGAAAATGTTGCTTAGTCCCTCTTGTGTTGTCACCGATTGACTCCCTTCGTCACCTTAGGTTACCTTTTAAAACTTTTAATTAACATTATCTTTGTTAAATGCTTCATTACTCCTTCATGTACTCTACACAATCATTAGCAAATGCCTTTTAAGAGAGTACAGAAATATCTAGACACCTTAAGCACTGTGAGCATAATGAGTTTTCTTTAGCTTATAATAATGTGTAAAATAGCATATTCTTCAACGGGCAATAATGACCTATCGTATGTAGATTAATAAATCCAAGTTTCCCTTAATTATACTAACTGTTTTTATTGGTTCACCGGTAAATAAAGCACTACTCTGTATAACTTCAATTGATTTTATATAATGGGTCGTGTGAGGAAACAGTTGCCATGGCGTTGTAAATTTGAGTGAGATGCGCTTAAGAGATTATACTGGTGTTGTGTCTCACGGTGTAATGTATAATAAACTGGTGTTCTATTTTGATCACACCAAATGAAACGACTTATTTCTATTACAGTGTCTTACTTAACCTTCTGAATGCCTCCATAAGGGTCTTTAAGTGATGATTTACTCCACTTATAAGGGTCTTTGAGTGATGATTTACTCCACTTATAAGGGTCTTTGAGTGATGATTTACTCCACTTATAAGGGTCTTTGAGTGATGATTTACTCCACTTATAAGGGTCTTTGAGTGATGATTTACTCCACTTATAAGGGTCTTTGAGTGATGATTTACTCCACTTATAAGGGTCTTTGAGTAGTGAGTTACTTCACTTCTTAAACGACATTATCAAACTATTGTATTACGAGTTTTAATCTTTTCTTCTGTGGTATAATATTCAGACCTGGAAAACACAGCCTTTGGTTATCTCTAAATGATCCCGCTAAAGACACACTGTACACCTTATCTTCTGTTGCCTCGTTTTGGAGTTTTTCGATTATGAGTTATTTATTGTCACACGAGACCAAATATGTTTCTTCAAGTTGTTTACCCTTACAGACCGACTCTCTGCTGAAGCAATACGTCTGTAAATCATGTACAGTCCACAACGTTTGTTCCTCCTTTTTGTCAATGTTCTTTTAAACATTTTGAAGTTAAGCTCATAAAGCATTATTTATTATGAAAAACATATAATATCGAAGTTAAAATGCATAAACAAAACAACTTAACACTGATATAATGAGGAGCACACACACACACACACACACACACACACACACCCAACATCAAAGACCAACACGTGGAAGAACGTGCTGTAGATCAAAAAATATTTATAAACTTTATTATTTACAAAACAAAATATATTAATGCTGATATTTTGACTGTGCCTGACTGTAGTGAGGCACTGTGGTGATGCTGCAAGAGAGTAATGCCATGTACGAGTCACAAATGACCTCACCATAGACACCATAACTCAATTTCAATCAAGTCGACAACTGTGAAAAATATAGACAAATAAATGTGATAAAATATAGTGTTTTGTTAATAGTCGTATGAAAGTATTGTTCCTTAGGATACATGGGTGAGAGGAACACAAATTAGGAGTTCGATCAACAGAAGTGATTATGTGAAATGACTGACGTGGATGACTTTAATACTGTATATCCGACAAGGATGAGTTTCTTGAAATGAAACAATCAAGAGCTGGAAAAATTGAACGGTCTTGAGTCGACTCGTCGCTGATACACCTGAGACTCTCGGTATTCATGAAATTAATTGGACTGAAACATTCTGAGAAACTGGAAAGGTTCAGGTGAAATTATAAGGTAACATTTTCTCAGAGCTAATTTGAGGCAGAAGAATTTAAAGAGAGATGAGTAGAGTATATAGAAGCACTACACAATGATAAGGATAGAGTAGAGTCTGGCAACAGGTGAGGCAGCTGTGAGCAAAATGAAAAATGATAAAGCTTGTTTGGTTGATCAGCTTCCAGAAGAATTTATAAAACAATTGGGCAAGAATGGGTTCAACTGTTTGACTAAAATGTGTAATTCTATGTACGTCAAAGGAGCTCTTCAAGTGATTCCTATCTAAAGAGCCAGTAGCCCTCATTAATTAGGGATGAGGTGGGATAATAACAAATATATTAATGGGTAAAGTTAAGGGCAGGAGGGCCAGGGGTAGAAGGGCCGGGGGTAGGTGGGGCGGGGGTAGGTGGGGCCGGGGGTAGGTGGGCCGGGGGTTGGTGGGCCGGGGGTTGGTGGGCCGGGAGTGGGTGGGCCGGTGGAAAGCAGAGACGAGGATGGATGAATGAAATTTAAAAATGGGCCCCAAAGAGATGCAAAATCTCGAAGAATTGGTAAAAACAGCCAAAAAAAACCGTTTAGAGTGGAGGACTGTGGTCGCCAACCTTCAGATGTGAGGACGGGACTGTGATTGGTTGACGGTAATCTAAAACATTCAATTGTAATGGACTCAATGCCTTTTGATTAATATTCACGTTGCTGCTCAGTAATTATCTCTACTAATTGTTCCAATTAAGTTTTTCATCAGTGACAGTATTGTATTGGCTTAGCTCTGGCAAAATAATCCATTAATAACTCCAGCCCCAGTGTTTACTCGGAGGCTGTTCCCCTCGGTTGTCAATATAATATAAATAATTAACAAAATAGATAGGAAGTGTATTATATATTCCCCTCAAAGCTAACACAGGTATTGGTATCCATAAGTCACTGCGATGTCTGTAAAGATACGCTTCCCTGTTATCTTTATCACCTACTTGATAGTAATTAATGGCAGTGGAAAATCATCTGTATGTAAATAGAGTCTTTTACATGGCTGATATGACAGGGACTCCATAGTCTCGTATATAACTGTACACTTAAGTAAGTCTTTGTAACAACCATTATTACTGTTACTGGCCTCTTATGTGGGAATACTGGACACTTTCCTTCAACCACTCATACGTTCCTCCGTTACTGATTCATTCCAAGTTAAACGTAGGGAATATTACACTTCCCAATAATATAAAACTATGACATATACAATATAGGTTCTTAATAGTCACTAAACACAGTTATTATCTAGAACAAAAATTAAATATTAATAGTATGTACCGTAGAACCTCACACACCTGTCCATCATTAACATACGTGTCATCCTTCAATCTGCTTAAACAATACTCATTAATGTACATACCTGCCACGATAACGTTATTAATAGCCACACGCAGTAGTAAGTTCACAGGGACTGAATTTCCAATCTCTATCAATATATATTAGATCACCTTTGTTACGAGTTATGGCAATTACATTATCTTTTATGACGCCGCCACATTACCTGTACACACACACACACACACACACACACACACGACGTCAGGTTAATTACCAAACACTACAATCTGATCTCACTCTCTTTAAAGTTCAAGTAATAAACTATTTATTTTACTGAGTTAGATTCCAGTTTCGGCTAAATTACACAACTTGGAAAATAGAAGCCATGACTGTTGGTTCAATCACTGCAAGAGAGGCACCACAGACGACCACCCACCACAAGTAATAATCTTTTACTTCTGGGTAACATGAGGTAACCTTTGCTAGTCTTAGTATATCTGGTAACTCTTAACCCAAAGTGTCTCATCCGAGTTATGAATTATTGTCTTCAGTATTAAAATAATAAAATGTTGACTACCTCTAAGAGAAAAATATCTATTAGGAAGTTCAATTAATCTAAACTCCTCAACTTACTCACCAAGATATAATATATGTTTAGACTCGTTGCCCGAAGCACATAATTAGTAAAGGGAATAACATAAGGATGGACAAAGAATAATGAATGTAGTCACTGAGGAAGACAAATGAGAAAGATACTTAATTATTAAAGGAAAGAGAAGAGCAAGAACATGTGAAATGGGGAGAAGGAAAAGGTGGAAAGGAGTGTAGGATGGAAAGTAATAATGAAGTACAGTATTAAATATGACTTTTTTGTTTTTAGCTGAAACAAGACAATAAAAACGTGTGTAAAAATATATAATCATCGGGTTAAACAGAGATTACGACACAATAACGTACTAGTAAAACATTAGAAGCACATGAGAATGAATGAGAAATAAAAGCTGAATCTATACTGAAGTCCAACGTTCATCCTTTCCTGACCTCGCTGAAATGGCAGGCAAGGGTGAGGATGAAATACATATACAAGGTACACAATACTTCTCCCGGGTTCCATGACGTTTAGTTTTTTCTGGTAATGACGGTTATGCTGACGAGACAACAACGATGAAGATATTATCTCTTCGGTGTGCTAAGTTAAATCCTGGTCATGTACAGGCGAGTCACGGAATAAGGATTAATCACTCTCGACGGTGTAGCCTTAGGTGTCAGGATTAATGACTCAGTGTTTAACAGTTGGCCTCTTGTGTAATTGTTTTTTTTGTTAATTGCCAATATTAGTTTATGGTAAAAGCCTACATGACCCAACAGTCTGAATAACTCCCTGGTGAACTTTATTTAAAAGTATGGGTCCGACACACACCGAGGCCGGGGCCAAAGGTTGAACTTTCATTCGGCTTAATACGTCTGTCTGCCTGTACATCGTTTTCAAGTTCAGTTCGAATCCCTCGCCTCGCCCTGACAGCTGCACTGTCATGCCCTCGACGGGGTCAGCGCGAGTTGCCAGAGTCTAATATTTTTATTTCCTCTCCAAAAGTTTTAGCTAAAGGTTTACTAACATATGTATGTTTATAATGTTAATAGTTAAATTGAATTTATGTTCTGTTCACATGTAGGTGTACAGGTATACAATTGGACAGACATCCCATCACTTGCCACGGTTGTCAAAACGCGTAAAAGAACAGATAATGTTAATTAGTCATTATGTTAACCCACCTTTATGCCGTCAAGGGAGTCGACCATAACATTTGTGACAGTCATCCCAAACTATGATCTACGTTGAGGGAACTTCAGCCTTAAGTCTAAGTCTCTGTACAACACCAATGACAGATCCAATATTCAGCCAAGCCTCTGTGAGATAATTCATCCATTTTAATTTCATCTTTTATTACTTATTCCGCTTCACACCAACACGTTCGGGCACAAGGGAAAAGTGATTATAATATTCCCTCTGCACTCTGGTGCACGGTAATTAACTTTGCATACACTGAAGCAGTTTTACATAACCTATATATTAAACTCTGAGCTGGGAATATTTATGTGAGCACGTTGTTAGGCATCACGTTAGGTTAAGGTTATACAGTTCTACATTATGAGAATTAATTATTTAACCATTAAGTCTATTTTTGTCTAATCATTACCATCAAATTTAACGAATTAATTAACTACCTCCCACACTCCCGAGATTCTCATTAGTATGTAATGGAACCTAGGTAAGGATATTCCAGTCCAGCTTCACTAATTGGGTGAACCTGGCAGAACCCACACCAACACGGCCGCTAACATCCTCCTGGGTAATTACTGCCTTGTTCAGGTGTGTACCAGCTGGCGGGAGGATGGTGACGGAGGAGTACCAGCTGGCGGGAGGATGGTGACGGA